CGGAAGTTCAAAGTGATGGGTCTGATTGTAGGAACAATCAAGAGGACAACTGCAGATCAGAAAAGGTCTTGTGGGTATGCTCCACAAATTCAGGTGCTCATCAACTCCAAGATGGGCACATGCACTTATTTGTTGGACAAGGAGCATTTACCTCTCAAGCCAAATTTTGAGGATAACACTGTTGTCATGGATGAGAAAGATCCTTCCTCAGTGCAAGCACATGAGAAGAGAGAAAAGGCAAGGGCAGAGAAAGCTACAAAAATGCCAAGTCCTAAAGAGGCATCTCAGGTGTTCCTAAAGAGCAAACAAGATTAGCTTGGGTATCTGATCCAATCCACCTTGAGGATCGAGAAGGGCTTGGCCACCCTGAATCAAAATTAGGAGAGTTTGGAGAGGATCATTGAACAGAAATTCTATGATCTTGATGTCAAAATAACTGCGATTCAGTCAGTAGTTGAGCAACTCCAGGAGGAAGTGGAGGAGAAGAAAGGCAAGGCTATTACAGATGCTTTCACAAGAGTGCCAAGAGGTCAGAGGTCTGATCCAGTGCATGTTCCTGATACTAGAGCCACTACATCTGGACCAGCAACCACAACTTCAGTGCCACCTCCAGCAGCCACTCCACCAGCTCCAGCTACATCTATAGAAGCCTTCGTCCTGGGAGTCATCTCTACACCACCTCATGAAGACCAAGCCTGAGAGACGCATAGCACTATGCATGTTTTCAACTTTTTGGTAACTTGTTGCCAAAGGGGGAGAAATATGCATAGATCATAGTCATCGAGAGAGTGTGTGTTGTTTTTTTGTCTCTTTGCACTTTATTTGGTTGAACTTTATTATGTGTTTGCTTGATACATTATGTCTTTTGTGAGATACTTGGATGATCATGTGTTTGATCATATGCTACCTTAATATGTGCTTGAATGATACTATCCCTTACATCCATTTATGATCATTCACTTTGCTTGGTGATGAGTGCATGTTTTCAATTGTTAGCATTTTAAACGCTCCACCAAGATGTATGTGACATGGAAGAGTGACCCATGATCCTAACACATTGTGCATTTGCAGTCCAAAGCAAGTTTTAAATAATGCACAAATTTAGGGGGAGCTCTTGCTTATCACATACTTCTCAAAGCGACGATGTATTTCAATCTTATTATCATTTGTCGAAGCTTTGATCTATATGTTGTCATCAATTACCAAAAGGGGGGAGATTGAAAGTGCAACTATCCCTGGGTGGTTTTGGTAATGATTAACAACATATAGCTCACTAATGCCATTTCAAGATAAATATTTCAGGAAAGTTCAATGATTGGCATGGCATGGATTAGGATTGCGGACCCCTCAAAATGCTAAGGACAAAAGATTGGCTCAAGCAAGACTCTACATTTTCTATTTTTAGTGATCTAAGATCACATTGAGTCTATAGGAAAGTCAATACTATTAAAAGGGGATGAGGTGTTGCTTAATGGCTTGCTTGCTCAAAATTCTTAGTGATATGCTCCAAAGCCCTCAACCACTTTCTCAGATCCACATATGTCCCAAACCAAAAGTCAAACTCGGCCCCACCGATTTGATCCATCCGGCGCCACCGAGTTCATTTGACATAGCCACTGCCAGAAACCCTAGTCACTTTGGTCTCACCGATAGGGATCTTGGTCTCACCGAGATGGGATTGCAAACTCTTTGTTTCCCTTCATAACATTTTGGTCAAATCGAGATGAGAGATCGGTCCCACCGAGTCTGCCATGCAAACTCTTTGTTTCCTTTTCGTAACGCTTCGGTCCCACCGAGATGAGTGAATCGGTCCCACCGAGTTTGCCTGACCAACTCTCTGGTTAGCTTATTACCAAAGTCGGTCCCACCGAGTTTGTGTAATCGGTCAAACCGAGATTACGTTATTCCCTAACCCTAATGATATCGGTCCCACCGAGTTGACATGTCGGTCCCACCGAAATTCCTAACGGTCACATTATGTACTGAATCGGTCCGACCGAGTTTTATGATTCAATCCCACCGAGTTTGGTATATTGTGTGTAATGATTAGATTTTGTGTGGAGGCTATATATACCCCTCCACCCTCTCCTCATTTGTGAGAAAAGCCATCAGAACGTGCCTACACTTCCACTACTCATTTTCTGAGAGTGAGCCACCTAGTCATGTGTTGAGACCAAGATATTCCAATCCTACCATATGAATCTTGATCTTTAGCCTTCCCCAAGTTGCTTTCCACTCAAATCATCTTTCCACCAAATCCAATCCTATGAGAGAGAGTTGAGTGTTGGGGAGACTATCATTTGAAGCACAAGAGTAAGGAGTTCATCATCAACACACCATCTATTACATTTTGGAGAGTGGTGTCTCCTAGATTGGTTAGGTGTCACTTGGGAGCCTCCGGCAAGATTGTGGAGTTGAACCAAGGAGTTTGTAAGAGCAAGGAGATCGCCTACTTCGTGAAGATCTACCTAGTGAGGCAAGTCCTTCGTGGGCGATGGCCATGGTGGGATAGACAAGGTTGCTTCTTCATGGACCCTTCGTGGGTGGAGCCCTCCGCGGACTCGCGCAACCATTACCCTTCATGGGTTAAAGTCTCCATCAACGTGGATGTATGATAGCACCACCTATCAGAACTACACCAAAAACATCCGTGTCTCCAATTGCGTTTGCATACTCCAATCCCATCCCTTTACATTCTTTCAAGTTGCATGCTTTACTTCTCGCTGATCATATACTCTTTGCATACTTGCTTGAACCATATCTTGATTGCTTGACTTGTGCTAATTTGCTAAAATCTGCCAAGAACTAAAATTGGGAAAAGGTTAGGTTTTTATTTGGTCAAGTAGTCTAATCACCCCCTCCCCTTCTAGACATACTTTTGATCCTACAACCAGATTCAAAACTGGCCGCCACTCGCCCTGGATTAACGTCCATGAATGGGAAGCACACGTGGAGAGTCACCCTACCCCTCGAGAGGGCAAAAGGGTATGTTTTATTTCCCTCTCCTACGCGGCCTGGGATTTCCTATCCACCCTTTTCTTTGGGGTTTGCTTGAGTTCTATGGATTACAACTCCACCACCTCACCCCAACTCGATTCTACACATCGCAGGGTTCGTTGCCCTCTGTGAGATGCACCTCAGATGCGAGGCGCACTTTGAGCTATGGAGGAAGTATTTTTGCATAGTGCCTTGCTCCCTAGACGAGGCTATTTGAAGTGGGAGCGGCCGAGGTCTGTCGAATCAAAGGGACTGACTACCCATCAGGGACACCTCAGGAGGATACAGAGGTCTGGCCATCCGAGTGGTTTATATAGAAGATGTTCCACGTCTCATCCCAGTTCGGCCTGGACTCCCCTCGTTCTCCTCAGAGCCCCTGAGGAGGCACTATATCTGGAGACCATGGAGCACCGCTCAAGAGGAGGGTGCTGATGTAATTAATCTAGCGGCTCAGGTAAAGCAGTTGTCCAGCACTGGCCTCACCATAATAGACGTGATGGCTACGGCGATCAACCGAAGAGTCCAGCCACTTCGGTAGTGCCAACACCCTTTGTGTATGTACAATGGGGAGGAGGACGCCTCTCGATCAATTCGGAAAAGCTTTTTTGATCAAAAGGCCTTTGGGACCGCACTAGCCGGTATCTACCGAAGGGTCACCAGAGGATTTTGCCAGGCAGCGATTCCGAGACGGACTATCCTACTACAACCCTACCGACATAGTAAGTTATCCCATATTTCCTCGTCTACCCGAGTTGTTCTAATAGTTAATCCATCTGACCGACCATTTACTGAGTCCACACAGAGATGGAGGCGCTGGATCGAGATAGTAAGCAGTCCCGCACCCGAACCAGAGACGCACCGTCGAGCGGAGGACCCCGTTTTTCATGAAGATGAGGAACTAGCCCTTATTTATGAAGGGAGGAAATTTTACGTGGAGAGCCTTGATGGCTCGAGGGTGGCCGTCACCCTTGACATGCCGAGGACGAGGCCGGCCTCATCAGTAAATCCTTCTACCTCTACTCGAGCTCCTTGCCCTCAAGCCCTAGTCCCCCGAGTTCTCCTCCAAAGGGACGGCGTTCAAAACGTCGACGCAGAGAGTATGCCTCTGTGGCCAAAAAATGAGCTAGATCGGGCGAGATTGGCGAAGAAACAGATAGAGTGAGAGGGAGAGGGGATAGAGATAGAGAGAAGATAGAGATAGAAAGAGAGATGGCCAGCCGATCGAAGGAAGAAGAAGGACCTGAACCTTATCCCGGAACTCTTTGTCGTTGGGGCCCAAGAAAAGTGGTATTCCTTTGCAGCGGCCACAAAGAGCCCTCTTTGGCCTAGCTGGCCACGAAAAGAGGCTCTTCGACCGAGGCGACAATGAAGAGTTGGTCTTCCTTCGACATAACAACGACTCGATAATAAAATGAAATATCTAAAACAATAATATAATTGTGAGATTTGGGATTTTTTTTTAAAAACTCCATTGGACAACCCAAAACTAGCCAAATGTTACACTAATCCCAAACAAACAATCAGACTGGGCCACCTTAGTCGTGCCAGGTGTGCCGACCCATTAGCACACATGCCTGACCCATCATGGGCCTGACCTGGCACATGGCTAAACGGGTCATGCTGGACCGCGGCACGTCTGATGTGGTGCATAGGCTGTGAGACCAGGCCCGTGTGCCGGCACGACACGACTCGTTTTTCTCTTAACTTATTTGTATATAGGCCCCAATAACAGCCCAAATAGCCTGAAAAGAACCTATAAACTTGAAAAGCACGCAAACCACCATTAGGCCTAAACATGCCGCGGGCCGGTGGTTTATTCCATGCCAGCCCACTTTGCCACGAAAAGACAACGTCCATTAATCCATGTACGAAGCCCAACTGGAAGTGTATACCGACCTGACACCACCCGATCTTAAAAAAAAAAAAAACTTGACCCCAGGCCGGAAACAAGTCGCCACGCCGTTCCCCGGCCGACCTCGCTTCGCCCCGACCACCGCAGGGCCATGGAGCCGAACGCAGCTGTTGAGGCCGACGCCGAGGACGACTACATGGGGGACCTGTCCCACTTCCTCCCGCCGAGCCCCTCCTCTCCCACCAGGAGCCTCGGGGTCCGGAAGCAACCCCCCAAGCCGGCTCCGCCGGCGCGAGGGCAGGCGAAGCGCGCCAAGGGGCTGCCGTGGAAGGAGCACCGGCGGCAGGAGCGCGATAGGAGCCAGAGAGAGGAGGATGCCCGCACGTTGGCCGGGATGGCAGAGGCCATCCCGGAGAGCAACGTTGGGTTCAAGATGTTGAAGCAGATGGGATACGACCCGGCAGCCCGCGGCGCCGGCGCCGAGCCGGTCGGAATCGAGATCCGCCGCTCTCGGGCCGGACTCGGGGCGGAGCCAGATGCTTCTGTGGCGCCGCTGCCGCAGCCATCGGAACCCAAGACGCGGGAGGAGGAAGAAAGGGAGAGAAAGCGGCAGGAGGAGATGGTGGTGGAGCTGAGGTCGAGGAAGAGCACGCAATGGAAGGGACGGAGGTTGGTGTGGGACTTCCGCAAGGCTGAGGCGGCGCTCGCGCAGCTGGAGAACAGGGAGGTGGAGCCACCGGCCCCCGATGGGGAGGAGAAGGAGAAGGGAGAAGATGAAGAGGAAGAGGTGATCACTGAAGAGGTAGCCGTTTCTCACTGCTCTGATACTGTTACTTCTGCACAGTTCTTTGTTCTGTAATTCTGTTGGTCAAATTTAGGATTGCAAGCTCAGTATCAGGTTCCGACCGACATGTTCAAAGATGTGCTAATTACTGCCAATTTTTCCTACGTACAAAAATGGAATTAAGTGAAGTAGATGAGAAAAACATTCCAATAGTTAGGATTGTGTATGAGATTGTGATTTGGATAGAACACCGTGATTGGTGTAGGTTTTATGGATTTGTCATATATCAGATATAATTCAGTAATATATGCTGGATTCATAATTCATCACATCCTACTGCATTTACCACAACACAATGATCATGAGTTCATGACAATTGATAATTGTGAAAACGTGCTTATTGTCCAATATTTGGTTGTTCATACATGTTTCCACAATTATCCCTTGAACTCATGATCATTGTGTTGTTACAAATGCACTAGCAAGTGGCTCGGCTCTGAAAGTAAATTAAAAAAAGGGCAGCCCGGTGAACGTAGCTCCCGCTCGCGCAGGGTCCGGGGGAGGGTCTGCCCACTTTGGGTCTATAGTACGCAGCCTTTCCCTACATTTCTGCAAGAGGCTCTGAAAGTAAATCCTACTTATTTTTCTATTGATCATTATTTCGTTGTCATTTGTTCTTTTCTGCATTTCCTTTTGCCCAAGGTATCATTGTGTAAGTGTTGCTGAAGGAACTGGATTGACATGTCGTTTATGTCTGCAGGGTTTACAAACCATACTGGATAAGCTGCGTGTTCAACACCACTATTGCCTTTACTGTGGATGCAAGGTCAGTTTTATTCCGGACACAAGCCAACTATCTGCAGAAGGCAGAGCATTCATACCTGATTCCTCATCTTGTAATAACATTGCTTCTTTGGAAGATCACAGTAGAGAATCCGTGTTTTATTATATACCCCCTCCTTAACTTGAGATAAGACATTTTTTGACACTGTCATAGTGTCAAAAAACATCTTATATTAACTTAGAGAGGGAGTAGATCTCTAGTGTTGCCAGTGCATTTCTCCATCCTTTTACCGCATTGCAACCAGATAGATACTGCAATGCTCATATTTTGCTCTATTTGTTTTCATTTTCTGAATTATAAATGCATTTAGACATTGTGTGTTTGCTGTGGCATCTTCCATGCTTTTAAAATATGGTTGTCTTGGCTGTTTTCTCAGTTTGAATCAGCAGGAGCATTGGCAAATGAATGCCCTGGGCCTAATGAAGATGATCACTGACCCACTCTGTCAATGGTGACAAGGGCACTGTCCTTCCCACTACAGGTGATGATTCTATGAGCAATGCAATCTGTATTCAGTAATGATTGGCATTACCGCATTGGATTCTTCACATACTGGATTACAAACTTGCTGTTTCGTTTTGCCTCTATCATGCAGATTATGGTAAATGTGACATTTGGGATATTCTTGATTAGTTGACTGTGTACGGTTAACCTTAGTCCTTAACACAATCACTGGTTCATAGCCAACTGGAGAAACTGATCTCCTGCATGTTAGTGGAAACAATATATTCTTAACTGCTATTATGTCTATTAGTTTTCTGTATCAAATGTCTCAGCATGAGAAATCTTTTTTTTTTTTGCGGGGGAGCATGAGAAATCTTTTTGGGTCAGTTTGAAGTTACATAGATGGAATGGGAAGGTTCAGGAGTTCGCATATGGTGTGAACTGCTCCATTTAGAGCTCAAGTTATGTCCCTGACATGTCCAAAACTCTGAATGAAGTTACCGCGGCCAAAAGGCAGTAGTGTTAAGCTGTGAAGAAACGAGTTGAATTCAGCTAGCGGTAATGTCAGCAGAATTGCACTAAACGTTTGACGTTTCCCATTCCTCCTTTCTAATCGAGGGACTATTCATCAATCATCAACCGAACAGTTGAAGTTTGAGTCGTGGGAAGGCTGCACTGTTCATCTCTTTGTTCCAGCCAATGCCGGAATCTCTTCACAGTGCAATTACATTTGTGTCGATCTTTCATGTGGACAAGCGATCCATTTATGATCACTGTTTGTTGATCACGGGCCAACATGTGGCACAAGATTTGTCAGTGAGCTCAATTATTATGTCATCGTGATGACTGCATCAGCCACCCTGCCCTACCTCTGGCAATTCTTTGTTCTCCTTTCTAGCGTGGGCTCCCTAATTCTGTTGACACCCGAAGCCAGAGTCTTTGGAAGCATCAAAGGTTTCAGCTTTACCATCAAACAAAATCAACAAGATCACAAGGTCTGGATCAGCATCCCAGCAAATGGTAACTGGAAAAAAAGGGAGAAGCTTGGAAACACATTATTCTTGGCAGTCTCTGTCACATGAAAGCAAGTGCTGATGTTTTGGAGAGAATATACTACCAGAGTTCCCACCACTGATCTGTTCTTTCGGAGCAAAGGAGCTACTGCATTGCTTGATCTCACTTTCTCACCTCAGCCAGCCCATCAACAGGACACCACCGGTGCTGAGAGCATGCTGCAAAGCCACGCTGTGTGACTGTGGCCTCAACTTTGCATGCTTAAACAAGAACAAGATTCCTGGCAATGCAGGATTAACAAGGGAATAATACGACGAGACAAGGTCCTCGACGAGCATACCGATACTTGAAATTCATGGAGGTTTACATCACATGGGCGCAAATAGTATGGAGTTCATGGACATTATGCATAAGGAAGAAATCAGTCGCCTGCCACTTCGGAACCCTTCCTTCCCATACTGGTGACCAGAAGGTAAAATTGAACGGCAGGCAGGGGCTTCTTCAGTTCCATGCTTCTCTGCGCAGGCTTAGGGTAACGTACGTAGTTGGAGTGGCCCCTACAGAGACCAGTTGGACGAGCTGCCGGGGTGGTCGAATGCCCCGCCACCGCTGCTGTGATCGCCGCCGCCGCGTGGCCCAGGCGCCGTCCTGTTCCCCTGCAGGGCGAGCTCGAGCTCGCCTGAGAAGTGGCCGTGCTGGCTAGAGCCTGCAGGGTGGTGCACCTCGTGGAGCGCGACGTCATGTGGCAGCTGCTGATGTGGCGCGTTGCGGCCGCCTTCATGGCCCCGGGAGCCACCCCAGGGGCTCACTGGGGGCGGCATGTAGTTACTCGCCATGATGGAGGGTGACACTCCCGCAGGGTGGCCATCGAAGCCCGCGGACCGATGGTCGTGGCTGGCACCGTGGGGGGTATTGTCCCATGGCTGAGTTGACAGAAGAGAGAGAGCACAGCTGGAGTCGGCGGCGACCCCTGCGAGACACCCACCTGGAGGGAGCTCTGGGCCGGGGAAGCCGCCGCCGTGGCTGCTGTATGCGTGGTGGCCGTGGTATCCCGTGGCCGCACCTGTGTGAGGACGCAGGTCTAGGTTCCCTTGCCACTGGATTTCACCGGGCATCCGGTAGCCTGGTCGAGCCCCCGGCCAGGCATCCCGCACGCTGCTCGGAACCCTTGGGTAGGAGAAATCCAGCAGGTAGCTTCTGAACCTGCCGGGTTCTTCTGCACCAAGGATCACAGGAGCAAATCAGCAAATGCAACTGGATCGATAGTGATCGGTAAGAGCAAGAGAGGCAAATCAACCGTTGCTCACCAAAGGATGCAGCGAGTCGCCCGTAGCGTGACGCGAGAGGGCCGGGGGGCGCCTTCCTCCGGCGTTCGTTGTGGCCTGCGAGGCGTCTGCGGCAGCTGCGTTTTCCTTGATCGAATTCAGGCAACTGGTGGAACCTGAGAAATTCGAGCACAGAATTAGTGGTACAACCCTCAACTGAATTTAGCAGTGAGGTATGATGAGTTAATGACCGAATAAAAGTTATGGATCCAAATCTCACAGGGTTTCATTGTATATGATCAAATAAATTTTTTTTTCTTCATGTTGATGCAATACGAGATGAGTACTACTAACGGTATTAAAAAAATCAGTAGTTTCGAATACAAATTTAACAAAGATATAGCAAGCTGCACAAGTACTACATGCTCCCTATATATATTAGCATATCTTGGGAACAAACAAGCATAATGGAAAACAACAGGCCTGGTCAAAAGGGCATGGCAATGCTAAGAATGTCTCTCTTCTTAATATAGCAGTACTGAACATCCCATTAAGGAACATTATCTTAACGGCCTTCATAATCACACCCCGTACATGGAAAAACTGGCCCCAGAAAAGAAAGGGGCAAAGGAACCGTACATGTGTAAAGAATCATTCATACAGATGTGAGATGTCTGGCTTAACACAATCAATAATGCACCTCACCAAGGGGCAGAGGGTTGTCCATCAAGTATGGAGGGAGATATCATTTTAGCTTCGCTTTTCTGATTATGCCTCTTGTCAGAGACACGCTGGACATTGGCACAACTCAGACATTCATGAGTTTCGCGAAAGAACTAGAGCCAGAGAACATAAGTCATTTCGCTTATAAACTATAGAACTTATTATGAAAACATGACAAGGGGTTGTTAGTGAATGAAAAATTACGGAATGATTGGTAACTGCCCTTTCAACTCGCAAACTCGCAAATTGAAATCTAATGTACTGTACATATTTTTTGAATGCGTCTGTCTAAACTGGACATTTCTCATCAATATGGGGAACTACACTTTATGTAAAATAAAGGTCAGAAAAGTTTTGAAGTTTTTTTTAGAGTAAACTTGACTTTCTTTTGCACTAGTATGTAATTTTTCACAAATAAAAAACCAGCGTTGACTTCAGGGCAAAAAATATATTGCTATTACAGACCACTATTCACACTATTTTGGCCGGAAATTTTGTTTTTTCTAAAAGAAGTCAATGGGGTTTTTCTTTTTGTGAAATTTTTTACAAGTACAATGGAAGATCAAGTTTACTTCAAACATATTTTCAGAATTTCATGACTTTTATTTAATTACTAATTTTATTTTTCATATAGGGTGTAGATACACCCATAGACCAAAAGTTCCCCTCCCATCAATATGTATCTATATTCAACCATTTGTTCTCCCCTCCTTCCCGGTGTTCACACCATGAGCGCACCAACATCCCCGAGCATACACAATACTGTGCAACAAGACGGGGGCAAAAAAAAATCAAAAATAGATAAGCAATGTGTATGCTTTGTTTTTTCAGTTAAAGCGATGGTAATTAATAACACAATTAAACAACTCGAGCCACAGGCCAGCCGTCCATTTTATGAAATACAAAGAAGTTTTCAACAAAGGAAATACAAAGAAGTTGCATAGCACATATAAACATCTGTAACCCCTAAAAATCATATAAACATCTGTAATGTAGTCTCTGGGTTTTCTAACCTAGTTAAAACCGGAAATAGTTTACAGAAAGTTACATGACGCGTAGAAAGTAAGCTAACTAAAGAAAGAAGTGTGAACCAACCTGTGGTTTGATTGTTAGGAGGACAATGGTATCTCTAATCCAACAGAATTCGAGTCATGGTGCTCGCATTTATTTCTGAATTTATTTCAAAATATCCGGCGATGCGCAGTCTCCCGGAGGTGCTATTAGGAATTGGGTGTGCGTGTGTATGTGTTGTTTATAGGATGATCGTATGCGCGTATATATGAGCATCTGCGTTCGTGATGTGTTAAGAAAAACTAAAGAGAAGCTTGCCCCTCAAAAAAGAAAAGGAGCTTGAGAACCGAATACGGACTTATACCAAACTTAAGACTAGTAACCTATGACGAAGCAGAATGCTACAATGCAAGATCGTTATTTCTCACTGTTCCCGATTTGATTTGACCATTTTAGAACTAATTATACGAAATGGATAGTTTTTGGGCTACCACTAATCCGCTACTACTAAACTACCAAGTATAGTATAATAGATATGCTAGCTAGAGGAATCTTATGCAAAGCAACCGGAAGGCAGGGATGTCATATCACTGAAAACATATCAATCAGTCTACCAACTTAAGAACAATCATCAGTACACTCAAATAGTATAGAATGCAAGTAGTAAGCTGCTACAAGCAATGGCCGTAAATAAAAAAAAAATCGCTACACCCAACCCAATGAAATGAAAGAAAAAAACTTGTAAAACTAATTAGACGCAAAGCAATTGACACAAACGGAAGGCCCCACCAAGCTAAGTCAGTCACAATAATACTGGAGGACTGTACTATTAATGCTTGGGCTACAGCTTACCTTATGTGGTCAGAAGGAAACCTTCAACAAGAAGCCAATAACACAAATTAAAATGGCTAGGAATACACCATGTACGCTACAGAATACGTCAAGAAATTGCCGGGGAGAAGAGAAACGCAGCGAGAGAGGAGGCGGGGGAGGAGCAATGGTGACCTGCTGCACTGCTGGCAGAAGCGCTGCTCGAGGCCGGCGACGACGACGCGGGGTTCCTTGGTGTGCATGGAGCACACCTTGTGGCGGGAATGGTATTGCTTGGCGCCGCTCAGATCCACGCCGCACCCCTCCACCTGGCACCGCGGCGGCGCGGAGCCGGACGCTCCCCCGGCGGCCACGGCCTTCCCCTTCCTCCCGCCACCGGCGGGCGGCTTGGACGAGGACGCATTGACGCCGCCGGTGCCTGTGGCGTCCTCGAAGTAGATCTTCTTGCCGAACTTGAGCCCGTGGCGCTGCTGGTCGTCCCCGCCCCCTCCGCCGCTCCCGTCGCCGCCGCTCCCGTCGCAGCCGCCGCTGCCAATCTCCATTGCGGCGCTTGTCGTCGGTCCTAGCTAGCTCGTGGTGCGCTGGCGATGCTGGTCGTGGAGGAACACTGCTCTTGCTTGCTGGCCCCCCTCTCCTCTCCTCTCTCGAGGGAGAGAGGGGAAAGATGGAGATTGGTGACGATGGGGGGAAACACGCGCACTCACACACACACGAGTGACCAGGCTTCACCCTTCAAATTAAAACCCCCATCCCTCTCTCTCCCTCCTTACCCGTTGGTGCGACAGCCTAGTGTGGGTCTCTCAACTTGTCATGGTAGCTATAGTCACCACTCACCAGCACCTTTTGCTTTGAGTCCTCGTCAGTCGATGAGAGAGGGGAGGGATGCGCCCCTTGCCATGCTGGGTAAAACGGCTGCGCGTGGTGCGTGGGGGTGCGGGCGGGCGGGAGGGGTTGGGTTTTGTATGCCCGTGCATGCCGGGGAGCAAGTACGTATGGTGAAAAGGCTGCGCCCCGCTGCCTATTCATGCCATCTTTGGCTTCGCTGCGTCGTCTGCCTCCACTTATCAAATCACGCAGGGCCGAGAGGAGATGAGAGAGCAGTGCCCTGCATCTGCATCTGCACCTGCCACTGCCACCGCCAACGCAGCGCAGCAGTGCCATGAATGAACAGCACGGCTGTGATGGCAGCGCCAGGCCGCCGCAGCTAGCGCCTCCACAGTAGATGTTTCCCATGGGGGGCCAGCTCCCGCCCTTCCCCCCTCTCTCTCTCCCCTCCTTTAACACCGGACCTGTAGCTGCTGCTATCCTGCTACCTAGTAGACCTGTGAGTGGCAGAATTGGTAGGTATTAATGTCGCTGTTCATCAGTGGTGCTCCATTTTGGGAGTAGAAAGTTTACCCACTCGCCGCGTGACTAGTTACCTCAGGGTTAAAATCGGGAAACTGGGCAACGGGCTACTACTACTTGAGCGAGCGAGTGAGTGTGGATGGGATGTTTCTTTTTTGCCCTTTTGTGGTAAAAAGAATCACACGGGTTTCCGCCCAGCTTTACCTTTGCATGAGTTCATGTGCACGTGCCTTTCCATTTCCTACGTGCAAAAGTGCTACTCCTACTAGTACTGTGCAGTCTTTCTGTGGACAGTGGTCCTCTACATTCTCTTGGAGAAATACGAGTAGGTTCCTGGGAGTGCATCCAAGTCCGCAATGATTGTTTTTTTTAAATCTGTATTTTTGGGCAAACTTTGACAAATGTTTTGAGCGCTTGTAAAGTTTCATCATGGAATGACGTTGATTCTGTTTTCTTTGCCACGACTTCCATTGATGCCATTCCATGATGAACTTTGCAAGCACACAAAACATTTGTCAAAGTTTGTAAAGAAAATTCATTTTTTTGGAGTCTACTGTTCATTCCAGTTCATTTGAGCTCGAGTTAAGAAACTTTGGAGTTTTATTGTTCATTTGTGCTCGCACTACTAGGAAAAAGCCTATACACAGAACTTTAGCAGTAACGCATGTTAAAAAAGGGCGCTGTTGCTAGACAGCAGTAGCGCGGGCGAAAAAACCGCGCTGCAGAAACATATATAGCAGTAGCGCGTGCCGCTGTAAAAGAGCTACTACAAAAATTCCCACCACGAAGCCGACTGGCTACACATAGTACTAGCGCTCTTTTAGAAACAGCGCTGCCGCTAATTTTGTTGTAGCAGCGCGTTTCTGTGTAAGGCGCTACTGCTAACGAAAATAAAATAAAATGAAAAACAAGTAGAAAAGTATATGAAAATGAAAGAAATAAAAAAGGAGAAAGAAAAAAAATAAAATGTAAAGAAAAATAAATGAAAAAAGGGGAAAAAAGAGAAAGGAATAGCAGTAGCGCTTTTCAGGAAACGCGCTGTAGCTAACTTAGCTATAGCGCGTTTCCAGGAACGCGCTACCATTACGTTTCACTTAAACAACGGGTTTCCCCCGGCAACCACTTCTTCCCCAAATCCCTCGCCCTTGCCGCCGTCTCCCCAATTCGCCGTCGCCCCACTTCGCCGCCGTCTCCTGCCGGTGTGGACGCCCACAACCTTTCCGTCTCCCCCCGAGGCCGCCGTCATCCTCACCGCCGCCGCCCGAGGC